GATATTTAGAATTTTATGTTTGCTATTTGTTATCATCTTTTTGGGTTGTCTTTCAGTTCTCTTTGGATTTATTTTGCTCTTCTTTGTCTAAGTTCTTAAGATGGATGCTTAGCTATTATTATTTTTTAAAAATAAGTATTTCAAGTTACGAATTTCCCTCCCATTTGTTTATACTTTCCAGCTTTAATATTAGGTATTTTAATTACCTGGCCATTCCAGGAAAGATCTAAAGTACTTCTTAATGCTTAAAATTTTTGTCTTCACTGCTAATTATCTTCTTTGTTATTATCACTTTCTAATTTAATCACATTGTGGTCAGAGACCATGATCAGTAAAATACTGAGCCTCTGAAACACATTGAAACTTATTTTGTGGTCTAATGTGTTGTTAATTTTTATAAATGTTCCTGGTTTGCTTCAGTGTCTACATAGAATCATACAATGTATGACCTTACATGTTGGGCTTCCTTCACCTAACAGCATATTTCACAGCTGTCAGGGCATGGGCTTATGTTAATCTTTTTGTTGTCATTGTGTCTCAATTGCTAACTTGTGTTTGTCTCTCCAAATAAGATGGATTTCTCCTTGTAATTTGGTTGATTTTTGCTTTTGAAATTCTGAGGCTATATTATCCAAAATGTAGATGTTTGAAGTTTTGTGATCTGTGTATTAAGCTATACTTTTTCCTTGTGTAGTAGCCCTCGAGTCATGTTTTTGTTTACAATGTATTTTTCTGGGATTAAAATAAATACGCCATTGTTCTTTTCCTTAGTATTTGCCTGGCATATATTTTCCTCTACTTTTTTCTTTCAAATGTTCTTAATCTTCAATTTTTCAATGCATTACTGTAAACCTGGAGTTTCATATTTAATTCATTTAGACAATACAGTATATATTATTTAGTAAAATCCAATACATTTGTTTAAATGACTGATTCCATGTACTCTGTTCATTTTCTAGTCTTCATTTCCTTTAGATAAATTGATAGTATTTTCACATTCCATTCTTATCTTGGTCTGTAAGGTGCTTTTTGCATTTTGTTTGCAAGTTAAACATCGTTTTCTTATGGTTCAGTGATTATTCTAAAAATTGTAAAGCCTTAATTTTTCAAAGTCCAAAGTTAATATTGTTACCCTTCTCCTGAACAGAGACTGAGAATTTAATCCCAAGTTTTCCTCCTTATTTTATGGCACTATTTTTGCATATTCTAATCATGCTTTTATTTTAATTACCTCACAATATATTATTGTTTGCTGCGACCTATGTTGTTCAGATTTTTTGCCTTTACTTTCTTTGCTGTTGAACCATTCTTACAGCTCACACTTCTCATGAACAAAGTACATCTTTTTGGAATTTAATTTTTTAGGGTCTGATGGCAGCTAACTCTCCCGGATTTTGTCTGAAAGTATTATTCTCATTAATTAATTTATTTGTAAGAAAGAAACAGAATCATAACAAAATTCTGAGCGATTGTTTTCTCTCAGCGTAGTGAAGTTCTGATTCCATCTTTTGGTTCTCACCACCGGTGCTGGCACTCAGCTGAAATCTGTTCCTTTCCTGAGAACATCAGGGGTATTTTAAGGATGTGTTTGGAGCAGTACACCTGTGTGGCTCTTGGCCATTTTCCAGGCTAGTAGTCACTCAGCATCGTGGGAGTGTGAACTGCATCTTTCAATCCCGGAAGATTCTCAGCCCTTGTGTCCTGACACACTGCTCCCTCCGCACTCCTGGTATCCAGGTCAGGTGTGTCAGATTTCCCTGCTTTGTCCCCCGTTTCTTAGCTTCTGTTTCCAATCTTCTGTTTGTGTCTCTCTTAAGTTGCATTTTAGGTGATTTCTTAAATTCGATTTTCCAATTCATTAATTCCCTTTCAGCTATGTCTAATATGCCCTTTAAACCTGTCCATGGAAATTTTAGTTTCTATTACTAATGTTTTCATCTCTAGAAATTCTCTTTAGCACTTCTTCAAATCTTCTTGTTCTTTACCACATTTGTAACCACTTCTACTTCCAGAGGTTAATGTAAGGACTCTTATTTTATGTTCTAGGTTTGATAATTCCAATATCTGAGTGAGCTGTATGATTTTCCACCATTACTTCTTTGTCTAGCACATAGACTTGTTCCCGTTTATATAAAGTGGTGTTTTCTTTTGTGAGTAGGTCATTTTACAGGGAATAATATTCATTTCTATTATCACTTATTCCTCTGCATTTTCTTTCTTTTTCTGTCTTATTAGCTGGATTCTTATTTTGCCACACTGATTATCTGTGTGACTTACTAATTCTCTTGCATATTTTCTATCTGTTTCTCTTTTCTTTTGTTTTGTTTTTTGTGATAAAGTTTTGCTGTATATTCTAGGTTGACCTTGACCTCACTATCTAGCTCAGGTTGGCTTTGAACTTACAGTAATCCTCTTGCCTCAGCCTCCCTAATGTTGGGATTACAGGTGTGTGGCACACTCCTGTTTTAGTTTGAACTCTATATTCCACATTCTAGACTTCAACTATTACCAATCCCATTTACACATTCTATTGGTTTTTAATTTAGTTGATCTTATTTTTAATTCTCGAGGGTTTCCTCAGTAATTACTTCAATCTGTCATTCTTTTTACTGAATATAAACAATTTCACATCTTTCTGAAGATTGTGAGATTATACTTGAAACTTTTTTCTTCCTTTTCTCGAGTTAGTCAGCTTCCCTTGTGCTGACAAGTTACATACTTCTATGTTTGAATAATAGGTTGATAAGCAAGGGTAGCTGACATGGCTTTCCTGTGTAGTATACTCACTGATTCTTCTAACATACCTACTCCTTGTGGGGGGATGGCTGGTTTATAAGAAGACAGGGCATGCTGACTGGGAGATCAGAGAAATTTCCAGACAAGCTTTGCTCTATTGCCCTACACAAAAAAACCCAGGAAATAAGCCAAGGTAGCAACACATGCCTGTGATTTAGCACTCTGAGAGGCTGAGGCAGGAGAATTCCAAGTCTGAGACCAGCCTGGGGAACTTAACAACTTAGCAAGACCTTCTTTGAAAATACAGTGTCAAAATCAAAAGGGCAGGGGGCGTAGCTCAGTGGGGACTGTTTGATCCTCAGTGCTGAAAAAAACAAAACAGAACAAGAAGTACTTTACTTTGGACTTGTGGAGTGTTTATTTCCGTCTTGAGAAAGTTGACTTTTCTTTCACTACTTATGTCTCTTTTTAAGATCTAGAATCACCTTAGAGTCTATTTGGCTTCTTTCCTACACAGCAGTTCCCATCTAGGAGTTTTGGCTGACCATTTGTAAAGAAGATACCACTGCCTCCTTGGTTCTTTGGAGCTTTTGGGGAGGGAAACCAGACTGAAAGCTCCGTTTGAGTCAGCTGGGATAGAGGTGTGGGGGAACAGGTGGGAGTGTGGCCCCGTGTTGCCATTGGGGATCCACAGTCTCTCCTGGGGCTCTCGAGGGCTGCGGCATCTCTTTGATTCTTGTTCTGCTGGGTTATGATTTTCCCTGCTCAGGATTATTTCCCTGTGGGTGTCCCATCTACTTCCTGTCTTCTAGAAAGGCAGCTAAGCTTCTGGTTTGCTACAGCACATTTCCACGTTCTCAGCACAGTTGTGGATTTCTGTTTCTGCAGCTTTATGGTTAGGAGGTGGGACCTGAAAGGGGAGGGAGCCGGGCTTACGCACAGCAGCCACCCAGACAGGTGTTCTCATAGCTTTAAAAAAATGCAGACACAAACCAATTTAGCATTTAAATTTTTGGTATCTTGATAAAATAGAAGCTTACTGGGTATTCAGAAAGCATGGGGAAATTTGTATTAGCAAAGGTCTTGAAAAATTCCCTGCTGGTTCCTGCAGCCACAGCAAATCCTAGCAGAGGTTTCGATAACTGAGTGACATTGCCCATGATCTTAACTCACAGATGCCCAGTAGATGAGGATGCCCAGTGGTCCACAGACCTATCTCCTAGTGCTGAGCTTCATCTTTGGACACAGCTTTGTCCTTTACAAAGGGCGCTCTCCACTCAGCAGTGCTCGTGGACCTAACAAAGCCCTGTCTCGGTGAGCTGCTCTTGGACACAAACTGCATAGCTTACATGATTTTAATGCCCCAGACCACATTAATACCAATCAGTGGTGTCAAAGAAGAGAACGAAAATACTACTTTGTAGAGTTCTCCTCGTTTTGATGACAAAGAACATGTATTTTATCAGTCACTGATTCCAGGAGGAAGCTACTGCCTAAAGAAGTAGCTTGTCTTTTCTCTAGCACAAGGCACAGCTGTGACTTTCCTGCCTAGATTCTAAGGCTGTTGATCTTGAGGTCTTCTGATTGATTTTGATTGCTTATTCCTTTTAATTTAGACAACTTGATATTTGCCTTTGTCATGGTTTATGTTTGTGTCCCCCAGGCCTCATGAGTTTGCATTGTTCATATATGATGGTTCATTGTCTAGTTCTTGGATTGATGGTGTCAGTGCTCCACCCACATAGGGGTGGAGCCAGGATGTGATGTAATGGCCGGAAGAAGGTGTGTTTTTCTCTTTTTGCTGGTTTGAGTTTGCTGTTGGCGGCCGCCATAAAGTGTGGCCCAGCCATGCCTGCCTACCTGGGAGCCAACTGAGTGTGGACTGAAACCTCCAAAAACTGTAAGAAATAAACCTTTCCTTTCCCAAATTGGGCATCAGGTATTTTGTCTCAGCGACGAGCATAAAGTGACTAAGACAGCCTTTTAATTTTGTTCCCACTCACACGCCCTAGGGACTGACTATGATAAAGCATGACACTTCCTTTTCCTGGATTCACTTTGAAATTCACCGTTTTCTGTTTTACAGGTCCACACTCAAGACCACTCTCAATCCTACTACCCAACCGGGCAGGACAGGAATAAATATCTTTCTTTTTCTCACTCGATTTTGTTTTTCAGCGACTTTCTTGGAAACCTATCATCTACCACACCCTCCCAGCCCCCCACCACACCCACAGAGCAAGTGGCAGAGAAGCCTTTCTTACTTGGGTTATTGTGTCCGGAGGGTACCAGCTGAGTGTCCTGAAAGAACAACAACAACAAAAAGAAATCAATTGACGTTCTTATTTTGACTTTTCAAACCCAAGCTGAATGTGAGATATATCACTGGTCCTTCAGAACTCTTAACTGCAGTGAGAAACACGTACTATAATGTGCTTGTAAAGCAGTTCTGGGAATGCAGTTTGCAATCACATTTATTTTGTGATATTGACTTCTTGTTTTGTTTATGGAGGTGAAATTCACATAACATAGATTAGGCATTTCAAAGTAGACAATTCAGCGGCATTTAGGACATTCAACTTCTACCTAGCTGTAAAATATTTCCATTACTACAAAATAAAACCTCTTCCTCATTAAGCAGTGTCTCCTGGTTTCCTCTCTTCTCCAAACTGTGATCACAGGTTTGCATCTGTGTCTACAGATAAACTGACTCTGGATGTTTGGTATAAATAGATTCATATGGTATATGACCTTATGTGTTTGGCTTCTTTCACTTAACACAGCATTTTGGAGGTTCGTCCTGGTAGCACATCCAAGTGTTTCATCCCTTTTTTGAATGAACAATATTATGCTGTATGTGTTCCTTTGCTGCCATGTGTTGATGGGTATTTGGGCTGTGTCCACTCTGTGGATACCACGAACAGGGCTGCCATGGCCTTTGCCATGCATGTTCCTGCCTAGTCTTTCTTTTCAAACATTTTCTGTATAGACCTAGTAGAATTTCGGAGCCATAGGTAACACTTTGCTACACTTCTTGGGAACTGCCAAAATGTTCTCCATAGAAGCAGAACTAATTTGCAAAAAATAAGGGTTCCTGTTTCTCCATATCCTTGCAGATATGTGTCACTTCCCATTTAAGGAAGATTCTAATGCTTCTTGAGGATGTAAACAGGGGTCTCTTTGAAAAAAAATTTGTATTTCCCTAAAAGCAATGTTGTAGCACATCTTTTCAGGAGTTTGTTGGCTATTTTTAAATTTTCAGAGAAAAATCTCCTCAAATCCTTCATTGTCTTAAAATGTGACTGTTTGCTTTTATGTCACTGAGTTGGAAGAGTTCTTTTATGGTCTGGATACTATACCACATCAGACATGATTTATCAGTATTTTCTCCTGATTTGGTGGTTGTCTTTTTCCTCCTTGACGCACAAAAGTTTTACATTTTGATGAAGCTTAATTCGTCTACCTTTTTCTTTTGTTGCTTGTGATTTTTGGGTTATATCTAAGAATCAATTAGCAAGTCACCAATCATGAAGATTTAACCCACTCTTCTCCTATGACGGTTATAGTCTTCAGTCTTCTATTTACTCATTGCTTCCATACTTTATTGACTTTGAATCTAACTCATTTCCTTTTGATTGTACCTTGATGGCTACCACTTTCGTGCACAGGAGGTCAGCCACTGTCCCTCCAGGGACACTTTCCTGGACAGCTGTTGTTAATCTTACAGTAGTGGATAAAGGAGATTATTCTAGACACTCACTTATCTACAGTGGCACAAATCCAGTCCTGGGCAGCACGTTAAGTCTGGTTAATACTCAAGGGGAGACTGAACCGGATTTGCATTGAAATGAAAATGTGAAATTTTGGGTTGAGAATCCACATTCTCTTTCCTTGCAAAATACTCATTCAATACGAAATATAAGGGAGAGTTATAAAGAATAAATTGAGATGTAAGAATGTAAAAAAAAAAGGCAGCATATAAAAATCCAACAAAATCCCTTTGTAATTCTGGTATGTGGAACAAAATCCCAGTAAAATAGAATTAACTTCTATTATGTGACTTAGCATATTTTATCAGATTTTTGCTTCCTGAATACAGTTGTTATGGGCAAGAGGTATCACTTAATGGGACTTGTGGCATATTCAAATACAAGGAATAATGTCTGTTTTAAACAGGAATTCCACCGGCATGATATAAAATGAACAGGTCTGTGGGTGGGACTTGGTTGAAGTAGTTGGGGAGAGAAAGGGTTCCTGCCCTGTGAGGCAGACTGTCATACACAGGTTCCCAGTAACCCTTTTCTGAGCTGGTAATAGCTGTTCATCAGAAGAAAAAAGAAAAAATTTGACTCTTAGTCCGAGACTCAGTTTCTGTGAACAGTTGTATGAAGGTGAAATACTACTCCTCAAGTGATGTGCTAAAACGTAATCTCCAAAAATGACTTGGATTTGTTTATGGAGAGAGGCAGTTCTGAAGAAGATGCCCAGGGCTACCTTCTCCAGGTGGCAAACTCATCAGGGGAGCACAAGGATGGAAACTTCTGAGATGCTGGAATTTTTCTCTGGCTGTTTGCTCCCACTAATGGATGGGAAACAGAACTTTTTTATTTCTTGATGTATGCTGAAACTCAAGCAAGCACTGCTGACAGAGTCTTCAGCAGAGAGCCAAACAAAGCTTACGGACTGCCTGAGTTATTTGTGATTACATCTTATAAGATCGCTAGTCACACCAAATTTCGAATTTTAACTAAAATACCCGTGAAATTCATGACTCTTTATTATTCCTATTTTGCATGCAGAGTGGAGAGAGAGGCAGAAAATGGATAAATAGGCACTAAAAAAAAAAAAAAAAAAAAAAAATTCACTGTAGGAGTGGGCCGTAGGAGAGACAAGAATACACAGATAGCCCTGCAACTCCATCGCGTGTTCCTGAGTGGTTCCTCTGGACTGACAAATGTTAGCCCCAAAACGCTGAGTCATAGCCCTGCCATCCCTGGTCTGGACCATTGTGTGGGACAAATGATGTTTTATTTCCAGTTGTAATGATCCCTGGCCAGCATGTCCCCAGCCTGCTCACGGAGGTGTCAGCTGCCTGAAGCCGTCTCTCGGAGCTGAGGACCACAGGGCATGGTCTCCATTCTGCGTCTGAGGACCACAGGGCACCATCTCCACTCTGCGTCTGAGGACCACAGGGCACCGTCTCCACTCTGTGTCTGCACTCCTTCCAGCTCAGCTCACAGCCCTACAGAATTGCAGTCTGTTACCCTCACAGAACCAGCGCCCCCTGGGGTCACAGCAGAGGGCAGGATACAGATGCTCCTTTGACCACAGGGCCAGACAAGGAAGTTCTTTCCATTTTTGTGCCTCCTGCCACCTGACCCAGATATCTACATTCCTGTAGCTTCTGTCTCAAAGACAACCTTTCCCTGGCTTCTGTCTTCCATGAGTAGAGTCTGGGGGAGCAGCTGACCTTCTCTGTATGTTTCAATCTGCAAGATTCTTCAAATGAGGCTAGGGAAGGGAGTCCAGGAAGTGAGGAGCAGAGGCGATGTGAACACAGTTCAAGGCCAGAGCCTACATGGAGATGTAGGCTCTCCTTGGAATCCAGGTCCTGGCTGCTTTCTGTTTTTGCTTAGAAAATTCCCTTCTTCCTTCTGAACAAGTAAGCTGCCAGGAAACATGCTCTTTGACATATTCCTGGGCTTTTGATGCACTGTGTCATACCTGCTCCCATCTCACTCAGCATCTTCTCAATGGTGATCCGGGTTTGAATGAAAGAGCTTCAGTGAAATACAAATAGGCTAACACGTGTGAAGGATACCACTGGGTAACAGGCACCAGGATGAGAATGCTATTCTTATGACTACATTGGTACCAGCTTGGCTCTGCAATTGGTACCTACTCATGCAAGAAAACTCAGAACATCAGTAGAGAAAAGAAGTTACCTGTCATTGCATTTCCAAGGTTATTTTGATGCCTTTTGGTTTGTCAGGATCATCTCTCAAGTGTGTGTCATTCTGAAGGTCAAGTGCCCAAAAGGGAAAGCCAGTCCCAGTGACTTAGAAAAATGTCTACACTTTCTGCCATCCTTAAGTACTGGAGTCCCAACACCTAAACTATACTTTGGCATGTGGGAATCCTAAAACTTCTTTACATGTGGTGTTTAGCAGGGAAATGAATCACTTTGCTGAAGACAGAAACCACCAGGCACACTGGTATTCACAACAGCCCTTCCAGGAGGCACTGTAATAGACACCTACCCTATCTTGTCAAGGGGCACAGGACATCCTACGTTAAGTGTATGAGGTGTTGTCATTCCAAGTACTCCCATGGAAGAAAACTTCTACCAATTCATTGGAAGATGCTGTCAACTGTAACACAAACCTTAAGTTTTGAGACTTTAAAATGTGAAAAAAAAGTGCCTTAAATTGATGAAATACACCAGGTCTTCAGTCATCTTTTTGATGGCAAACAGCATTTACCCTGTGAGTGCATTTCTTAAAAATGATTCTTTGGAGCCAGGCATGATAGCACACATGTGTAATACCATCACTCTGGGAGGCCAAGACAGCAAAACTGCAAGTTCCAGTCCAGCCTGGGCCATTTAACAATGTTGTGTGACTCAATCTCAAAATTAAAAAAAAAAAAAAAAAAAAAAAAAAGACTGTGGATATAGTCTAATTCAAAGACACTGGGTTCATTTCCCAGTACAATACAAAAAAGAAAGCATTCCAGTTACACCTCTCTACTTGCTTATCTATCATTCCAACATCAGAATTACAAAAGGTAAGAAATAAAAATGTTCACTTATATGTTTAGTCCCCCATGTAAAGTTAATCACTACAGGGAACATAACTCTCTGATTTGGCCAGGTCTCTGTTACTCTTGTTAGCCACTCTCTTCTCGTTCCTAGTCTACAGAGCTCCACTCAGTCGAAGTAATGTAATTTATAACAATTTATAACTGATTTAAATGGATATCTTGAGGGAACGCCAAACACGAAAGCCTGAGCACACGTTTTGTTGGAAGCACGCTAGCAACCCAAGGAGGGAGACATAGAAGACAAACTCTCCAACTTCAAGGCATTTCCCCTCACACTTTGTTGGCTTTCATTTGCATTCTGTGCACACAGAGCAGGCAGGAGGATCTTCATTTCTGTAATTATGCTAGAGTTGTTCTATATATGGCTTTAGAAATCAATCAGAAGAGTTTTGTCCAGGTCTTAAGCACCGGCCTCAGCACCCACGACCACAGATGAAATCCCACCGAGGGTGGAGATGCCTGCTTCTTGGGAAAGGAAAACATTCTACACTTCTGAATTCTTTATTTGCATTTCAAAACTTATGAGACTGCAGCAAAATGAAAGGGAAAAGGGCAAAGCAAATTCATTTTCTTCTCTCTTGGTTGAAATATCTGATAATGGCAACCAATTTCAAGGAGACACGCATTCTTTGCTTTACCAAATTCAATTACTTCTGAGATTTGAAGAATGAGACAGAAATGCCTGGTAGTGTTTGTCCAGGGAATTGTGACTCCAACTCAAGTCCTGAGAGAACAAGGGGAAAAAACCCAGCCAAGTTCATTATCAATTGACTTTACTATATATTATGTCCTTCCATACTTGGCCAAAATGAGAAAAGTCTCAGAAGTATTTAGCCAATTGTTAGTGGCACTGGCAACTCAGATTGCACAGTAAAATCGACTTTCCTTTATAAGATCAAATGGCCCCCTTAATCTTACTAAGGTCTTAATTCCATCGATTATTAGTCATTTTGGAGATTTTGCTCCTCAAATTCCTTAAACAATTCTAGTCCAACACATTAGCAATAATAATGCTCTCAAACATTAATAGTCTAATGAATGACCAAGTCCCCAGGTTTCAGAATGCTAATTTGTTGAGATAAAGGATAAAAGAGGTACTGGAGGACTGCGGTGTGGCTCAGGGCAACAGCACTTGCCTACCACAAAGGCGCATGGGTTCGATCCTCCACACTGCCAAAAAATACATAGATACATACCAGAGAGGTGCGCTCAATATCAAAATTAGCATGTTTTTGTAATGGGCAGGTAATGGTACCCCAAAGATGTCTGGACCCTAATTCCCAGAATCTGCAAATATGTTACTTCACATAGAGAAAGAGGTTTTGTAGATGGAATTAAGTTAAAGATTTTGAAGTTGGGTTTTGCCCCAGTAATCCCAGCCTAATCCTGGGGTCCTTAACGAGGGAAAGGAGAAGGCAAAAGAGCCATAGAAGGGGAGACGAGGGCAGCAGGGGTCAGAGCAAGGCGAGCCCCCAGGCAGGTGGCAGCCTTCGGAAGCTGGGCAACGCTCTCCAGCCTCCAGCTCCAGAGGGCTAACGCAGTTCTGTAGTTCTCAAATCACTCCATGTGCGGGAATTCAATCCAATGGAAATGGGAAATTAAGGCGCTTCACTTGTGTAAGACGAAGGACCAGTACTTACAGTAAGCTTTTTTTAAAAAAAGGCATTATTTAAATCATGTAATGTTCCTATACTTTGTGAAATCACTTTTCTCCACCCCCCTTGGGCCAGGCCTCCCCCCTCCCAAATCTAGAGTGAAACAGTTCATGTGACTCCTAAGTAGCCCTAAATAACACACATTTTTTTCCATTTATATTTCGATTCTTTGTCCTTCAGGATAGGTAATAATGTATCTGAGTGATAAGATGCTTCTTTCTTAAACGTTGAATTTTTTAAGCTATAGTTGGTTTCTTTTCTTTTTAAGTAATTTTATTTTATGAACAAAAAATGAAATTTCATAACAAAACAAGGGAATAACAATGGTCAACACATAGTCATTTTTTTCGAAGTAGTTACTCAGGCTATACGACAGACAAAAAAGTTTCTCTCTTACAAAGAAGAGACAAACAGAAAACAGCATATATTTGAGTTTCTGTACATTAGATCTCCAGATATTACCGTGCAAAAGCAAAACTTTCTACTCTTTGATCTTTGTCCACTAAGCCCTCTCTTCAGCCCCTGGCAGACAGCACTGTATCCTCTGCTTCGGTGAGTTTGACTGGGATTCTACATATCCTCAGTAAGATCAGGTGGGATGTGGGTTTCTGTTTCTGGCTTATTTCACTAGGCAAAAGGTCACTGATACAGATGCCATATGAAAAATAATATATCTGAATGATATGCAGCCTGACACATCAGAAATACGACTGTAGGTAATTATTGTTGTACTGCATATTTGAAATTTGCTAAGAGGGCAGATCTTTAGAAATTTGCAGAGAGGGTAGTTTCTTGTTATAAAAAAAGAAAAAAACAGGAATTACATGAGCCTGATTGTGATGATTATTACACAAATACACAGACACAAAACGTGTACTCACCTTAAATAGACACAATTTTCATTTGTCCGTTATACCCCACTAAAGCTATAAAATGAAAATTTTGCACTAATGATTAAAATCTCAGTCTCACCTCAGGAGTTAAGCTGCTGCTTATGCTTAGGTAGTTATTTGAAATGAACAAAATATACTTTGGAAAAGTTATAACAAAATATGCTTTGATATGTAACTAATTATGCTAAAACTTAAACGATGGATATGTATATATGATAAAAAAGAGTGGACTGGGAATCAGCCATTACTTTGGTCAGACTATGTGCAAAGATTATAAAGATTCTTCATGCTATTCTAAGTGTGCCAAGATGCCACTGGAAATGCATATACAGAAACTATTCAGCTAAATTTGTCTACACTCTTTCATTAGTTATGTCTACAAAGCCTAAACTGTGTTATATGGTATTTTATTAATAATGTTCACTAACTTCCGACCTAAACACTTATTGGGAAAGAAGTAGACATACTGAAAAAAACAGAACAGGGAGTTCTGAAACAAATTCATGTGCTTCGGTGCCACTGGAGACACTTGAAACTAGAGTGAGGCAATGATGGATACACTGATAGTTTATTACAATTTACTAATTGAAAAGCCTAAAACTAGAATCCCATGTCATACACTCCACACACACGACATATTAAAAGGAAAAAAACCACCCTAAAAACTGGAAAAGAATCGGAGAGACCATTGTTAGAATGTTAGAGCAGGGCATATCTTTTTGTTTTGACATTAAAATTAAATACTTTTATAGCATAAAAGGCACATAAATAAGGTTACAAAAATGGTACATTATATATACCAGACAAATGAATAAGATATAAGAAGTTCCTACAAATCATTTTTATGAAGTGGCAACGGATATGAATGGGCAATTTGCAAAGGAAAAAACAGTCGCCGGCTGAGCTTAGAGGTAATTGGGGAAATGCAAATTACAACAATGAGATATCAACTTTTCATCCATCATACAGACAGAGCGATAAAACACCAGATAATATGAATCACTGGCTAAGATATATAAAAAGGACTCTTGAAACACAGCCAAGAGTAAATGTGGTCCCTGACAGGTCCAGGGCCATAATTCCTGTTGTATTTGTCCTTACTGGGGACAGTCCATAGTAGACGCACAAAGGAGACTTTACAAAAAGCGGTGGTGGTGACGGTGTTGGTAATGACCAGTGACAACCTCTACATTCACAGCAAGGAGCTTGGTAAAATAAATTATGGCAAATCCATATATACATTTTGCTGCTCTTCAGAGGGATGAAGAAAATCTCCATAGATTCACAGGAAATGATCTTCAAATACCCTTTGTTCAGGGAATTAAAAATCAACTCTTAGAATGGAATTTACCATTGTGATTATAGTATGAATACTTATTTCAATAATTCAGTATAGAAGGTTGTGATATTGACATTTAGCAATGTTGTTTACATATCATGGTGATCTGGGAAAAATGCAACTCTTGGAAAAATACTCTTAGTACCACACAATTTAAGAACTGAAAAAAATGTACATAAACATAGGGATCTGTGATACATAAGGAAAATGACTGAAATGTTTCACACCAAACTCTTGCAAATAACCTCGATGGGGGGAAATTATGGATCGAAACATTAGGGATTTTTTTTCCATTTGCACAATTTGATCTTTGATAATAAATATGTAAGTTACAGATCAGTCATACAGTTAAAGATATTTAAAATAAATGCCTATTAAACTTGTATATTATTTAAATGTGTTCTGTGGCTGATCTTTTTCTGTGCCTTTCTTTAGAAATATAGAAATCTTTTTTTAAGTTTTGGAAAACATTTTAAGCTTTAAAAGGATATCTAAGAGAAACTGAATAGCACATGTCTTAAATTCTAAGACATTCGCTGTAATGCACATCATTAATTTAATAACAGCTTTTCAGAAAGAAAACGGCACATGATTCTGTTGAGTGTATAAAATGATTGTAAGATGGATTTCAAACTCACAAATGTTTTGGATAAAGACAATTACAATGAGTGTCACATTTTGCAGAATGTGGAAATGAAGGTAAGTGAGATGCAAGCCTGCTGCTCCTCGAGATGCCAAGCCCGATTCTCCTCTTTCAACGCATAATTTTAAACACAAGCTTGCAAATCTTTGAGGAGCAGATTAGGTGACTCTGGTAGGGATATTTACACAGCAAAAGACAGTGTAGTGTGAGCCCACCAACCCCTGCAGAAGCCTGCATGAGGACAGCGCCTTCCCTCTGGATCTCACCTTATTGGGAAATGGAAATTTGCTTGATTCCACTTTGCCTGGTGCTTGAATAGCAGAAAGTGGTGGGAGCCAGGTCATCTCCTGGAGGTTGGGAGGGGGGAGACAAAAACAAACAATACTGTGATACAGAGAAGACTCAGTCGGTGGGGTGTTAGGGTGGCCACGCACGCATGCTTAGATGAGGTGTGGAAAGGACAGGCACGGATAAGGAATAAATGCGAAGTCCACCTTTATGGTTTGTTTTCTTAACTTGACTTTGACCTATTCTTGATTGCATGGCTATTGCCAGGCTCATTTTATAGCTGAATGAGAAAAGACTGTCCTCTTTACTCCACTCAAGCCTTTGAGTCAAGGACTAGTAGAAGCTCTGTGCAAAGTGCTGTACAAAGGAGGCTTGGACTGGATTCCAGAGAATTCACAGGAGTCTCTGAGGGAATGTATGGGGCACTTTTAATTTTGGGGACCTTTCCTGAGGACTTATATATGGTCTTGTAGATAAACAGTGAGTTCCCAGTAAGTTCAACATGTCACTTTGGCCTTCAAAGCAATGCCGTGTATATGAGGAAAAAAGGAGAGAATGACGTCGATTTTTACAAGCCAGTATTGAAGTACGACTTGAGTTACACATGCAATAATCTGTCTGATGCTTTTTGGCATACACCGCCACTGAGCTGTGAGAGGAAGAGGAAAGGGTATAATAGTTACTTCTAATGTTTTCCTTCGATTTCACCTGCTGAAAGAAGAGTTGCCATCCACAACCGATGACGGGATTAAATCGACTTCCGATGACCAGGAATTCAACGTGGAGTTTACATACAGGTCCTTGAACCTGTTTTGGGGCTGGCTTGCACTTAACACGGAGGCAAGCACAGAAACAGTAGTTGGTTCATTTTAACACAAATGATGTGTCCTCTCTCTCACAGAGCACCATCTTCACACTGTCTGGTAGGTGGTGGGATGTTGAAAAGGGATTTCACCTGGCAATGAAAGGATGTTTTTGTGCTTGCTTTCCTTGGTAATTCTCCTCCCCAGAGCCTCAGGTGGGACAGAACCCACAGAAAGACGCAGTCACTGAGGGTTTCCATGGAGTGCGAAGACAATCCAGGGACTCTCTGGGCCCCTCTCTCCTCCACCACTTGGCCCTCAAGCATCCACCAGTCCCTCTCTAGGGGACTTGTTAAGCACAGGTGCCACATTTGTGTTCAGACTAGAATCTGGCTTTGTGCAGGGAGTTGAGGTCCTCTCATTCTCAGGAGAGTGTGCCATGTTGGTCAGGAATCGACCGGATTTTACCGAGACCTTTGCTACCCAGAAAGCTTTGAAGACAGCATGAGTTTTCTTCAGCTCCAGACCTTGTCCTTCCTAATGCTTGGCTGCATTTTTGCACTGTTTCTTTTCTCTCCACCATAAGGGTTCTGGTTTTTCTTTTTCATTTAAACTACTGGCTAGGTATATGTGCTGTAAGTGGCCTTGTGTTGGCAGAGAAAGTTAATCAGTTATAGACACCTGAACTGATTTTTATCCCCCTACCCATGGGGACTGTTTGATATGTCCCAAAGGCCATCACATTCGTCATCAGCCACTCAGAAGCTTCCTTTGCAATTATTCTTTGGCTTACACAATTTAGACTATGTAGTCTGTAGGGTCTAAACTTGATAAATACAAACTAACTACTCATGATTAAGCATTGGACTTACAATCCCAGTCTGTCCATATTAACTTTGCACAAATTATTTTATGATTGTATCTGTGTATCAGCATGCCATATACAGACTCTCATTTTGTGTATGAGCTGTTAGAAAAATCCCCATACAATGAACTACTATTTCTGTGTGTCCTCCAAGTACTCAGGAATAAAGAAATGGAAAGTTCAATAAAACATACATATAGTGCATGCCAGCCCCACAGTCCTGACTAACTCAGATCTTTGGACTTCAGTAGTGAAGAATTAGAATCCTGGTTCTTCCCAGTCTAGTCTGAGTGGCCTCTTTCCATGTGTCTCTGACCCGTTTCTTTCTGCCAGAACACAAGCACACTAAACTGTCCCGAAGTCTAGTGCCCAGCACTAACTACCTAACGGACGTCTTAGCTGGCTCACCAAGAGCTCCTCCATGGTGGCATCCACTCTAAAGCCCACGATAAATCCCCTTAAAATCTCCAGTTTGGGAGCAGGCTCTTATTCTGGCTTCTGAGATCTTAGGCTCAGGCTGCTGAGGAAAAGATACCTGTGCCTGATGGTGAAGGTGTCACCATCAAAGCCCAGTTTTTCTGAGTTTGGACCCTCCAGGTGTAGGATAATGCTGGCTAAATTTTTAGAGACCAATCACCCAAACTGCCACCCAAACACTGCAATTAAATCTGGATGTCTGACGCTCCGCTGTGGGGTGACCTGGCTCAGTGCCTAAAGACAGGGCTCTGCATGCCCACTGCAGCGTGAGTGCCACAGGTTCCCTGAGGCTGGGCACTTGCTTCCAGTGTGTCATATCTTGGAAATTCTTCAGACACTATTCCTGTGTTTCGGGACTCTCCTTGAGACTCCCTTGTGTTCGTCCCTCCTCACATCAGGTGACCTTTCCTCTAAAGTCACTGAAAACACTGGGGCTTTTGGATCTCAGTGTTCTTCAAGGACAAATTTGTTGATCTTCATGGCCTTTACGGCCAACCCCTTCCTTCCCTCCAGCCAGACTAAAGTCCCAGGTATCTCCTGTCTTGCCTGCTCCTTTGCCCTGGGATTTATTCCATCAACATTCCGAGGGTTTGTTTTCAACTTTGGTCTTTTCCTGTCCATCAGCTTCTTCTGGTAATACCGACAGTCAAGGCCTCTGGCCCTTCTTTTTCTATCCCCCCTCTGCCTATTCTTTCTTCCTCTATTTTGTATAATAGCCAGAATTTTCAAAGGATCATTTATGCTTGCTGTTTTGACAGCATGGCTCCTTTTTTCTTCTCTCTCTTTTTCTCTCTCCTTTTCCTCCCTTCCTTCCTTCCTTTCTGACTTGTCAATTAAAACTATTGCAGACAACATACAGGAAACACTGAAAGGCACACCCAAAGCAAGAACTCCCTAAACAGAACTCCAACCACATAGGAAATAATATCAAGAATCACCACATGGTATCACAACGAATTAGAGTTTTTGTATAGCAAAAGAAGAGTCAACTGAGTGAAAAAACCTATGGAACAGGAGAAATTGTGCCAGCCATTCTGCTAAGAGAAGACTAATATTAAAATTATATGAAGAACTCAGAGCAAAAAAATAAATTAGGCCTCAAAGAATGACTCAGTCAAAAAACACATAAATGAAATGAATGGACACTTCTCAGAAGAAGCACAAATGGCCTGTAAGTGCACAAAAAAATATTCAACATCTTTAGTCTTTAGTCAAAACAACTCTGAGATTCCATCTTATACCAGTCAAGAATGGCTATGACCAAAAACACTAAAACAACAAATGCTGGCAAGGATGTGGGGAAAGCAGGAACCCTTCTACGTTGTTGGTGGGAATGTAAACTAGTACAATTACTGTAGAAATCAGTATGGCAATTTCTCAAAACAGAAAGAAAGAAAGAAAGGAAGGACGGAAGGAAGGAAGGAAGGAAGGAAGGAAGGAAGGAAGGAAGAAAGAAAGAAAGAAAGAAAGAAAGAAAGAAAGAAAAAAAAAAGAAAGAAATTCTGTTTGATCCAGCTACACCTCTCCAGAGTATATTCCCTGAAAAATTAAGGAACATCATATGACAGTAATGCACACATACCCCCAACTCATAGTAGTGAAGCCCTGGGAACAGCTTAGGTGGCCATCCACAGATGAATGGATAAAGAAAATGTGGTATGTATACAAAATGGAATATTATTTAGCCACAAAGACAATGAAATCATGTTACTTGCAGGAAAATGGATAGAACTTGAGACTAAAATGCTAAGTGAAGTAACAGGAAGTTACAGATTATTTCTTTCATATTAGAACCCTAAAACACAAGTTAACAGGAGAGTACGGTGAAGGAGAGACAGTAGGAAACGAGAAGGCAGGCTAGGGGAGGAAGGGGAGGGAGAGGAGGCGGGAGGAAGGAGAGAGGGTTAAAGGGATAGGACATGATCAAAATATGTAGTCAGGTACTAGTTTCTCAAAATTTACACCTCTATTATGTACTATAAACATACAGCAATAAAATGAATATGCTCACAAACTGTAAAACTATTTTGTTGCAAACTAGGAGTCCATAGACTATTGGGCGTGGATATAGTTAAAGAATGCTGAGTGGGTACCCACAAACTCCCATCCACCTTCGTGTTCCAAAACCTCAACAGAACCCGCTCTGATAAAAGACCTTCCAAAAGCCAGGTTCATAGACCCATGAATGCCGATTTCTTCCTGAAACCCTCATCTCTGTTCTTCTGTCAGTGTGAGGCAAACTAAGGGAAATTTTAGCAAGAATGATACATTTTGCCTTTGCTTATATTTTAAGTAATCACCAGAAATAAGATACAGCTAGAATGTTTTTTCTCAAATCTCTTTTTTTTTTCTTTTTTGGTGATACTGGAGATCAAACCCACAGTCATTCTCTGTGATACATCTAAATAGCTAGCATCATTGCTCTTGCCCTCTGGGGACGTTATGAAGTCATATTAGGGTTATGTGATCAAGTGCTGAGACACCACGGCAGTCAGCTCGGTAACTGCAGCAGCTCCTAGGTGACTAGCAGGAGAGTGGTGTGTTCAGTGTGTGTATGCTCACTGAAGGACAGACCGAGGGAGATCCTGACACACCACATGGAACAGCATGCAACTTAAGACTTAGGAGCTGCTTATTTCTGGAATGTTCCATTTAATGATTTAGGACTGTGTCAATTGTGGATACTTGGGATTGTGGATCAGAGGAGACACTACTGAAGTTCCAGAGGGCCACCTTAACCATTTCCTGGACCACATGCAGGACAGATAACAATGTCTACAGCCAATTCCTCTAAAGTTAGCTAACTCCAATGTCATGGGTCTGATGTATCTTCCTTTCCTCTCTGTTGTTCTTGGCCCTCAGGAATAAGGTCACCCTCTGTCCTGCTAGAGTGGAGGCCCTCAGTGTTGAGTCT